TTTTTCACTCTCCGAATTTTTTTCTATTATTGTTCCGGAAGGTGAAATAATAGAAAACGATGCTTTTCACGGAAGTTGAATTCTCCACCAAATTTGTCTCTTCGTATGCAACTCTCTTCTATTTTTGCAATTTCTTGTAGATTTGGCGGAACCTCCAAAGCTACTCTCTATCTGCCAACTATATCCATAGTGATCGAGAGAGAGAAGAAAAGCTTGGGATCTTCTGCGAAGTTCGGCTTCTACATCAGAAATCGAATTTGAACTCTGCGAGAATTCATTGTAATTTAACTCGTTTTTTGTTCTATTCTGAAATTAATTCAAATTTTGTAATTAGTTTCTACATTTTCTGTTTAGCAGCATTGTCTTCGATTCAATTTTGTGTACTAATATGTTTCAATCTATTGTTAATCTGCTGTCTCTCTCTTGATTCTATCTTGAAGCGTTCCACACTTCTCTCTTTTTACTTTCTCTCTCTAAACTTTTCTCACACAACCGTTATTTATCGTCTATTTACTCTGTTGACTTTTCGGCTTGTAGGTAAAATTGAAAAGCATGCAAGCTTCAACGTTCGCTGTCAAGGGAAACTTAGGTTTCAACATAAAAAATCATAGGGTTTTACCAGAACTTGGTGAATTTTGGAGGAGGAGGAGTTCAGCGCTGAATGATCATTGCATGAAAGAGAGAAACAGTTGCTTTGGATTGCGCGTCGATTCCGTTTCCATGGGGGCTGAGCTCGTCCGTGCGAGAGCGAGTGTTCAGAGTGCATTTCGGTCCTCAGTCAAAGCCAGATCAGTCAAGGCTCAAGCTTCTGGTTTGTGCATATGTTTTCCTTTTAGTGCTTGATTTCATGTCTCTCTGTTTTTTTCTGTAAATCTTCTGGATTAGTTAGTGCAGCTCGTTGTGCCATGATTTAGCTTCATGAAATCTCTGAATGCACTGTTGCAACAAAACACTATGGATTTGTGTTTTCCTTTTAGGGGATGACTGATGAGGCATGAACCAGTTTTTTGAATCTCGTAAGGGCTATCCCTTACCAAGTGGAGCAATTCTTAGCTTTGGATTTGGCAAACTTGCCGCCTTTCTGTTCTGGTATAATGATAGGGAGTATTCTGAGTTGTTCGTACTCTTTTCTTTGCTTAACGTTGTTACTTTGAATCAAGATACTTTAGATCATAGAGTTTGGATGATTGATTCCACGGTTCTTTTTTGTGCTAGTCCTTCTTTGACATTTGATTGATAATCCTTCTTTTCCACCTTTTTACTCATCATTGAAGATTTGGAAGGCGAAAGTGTCTTTGAAGGTACAAGTTTGTGCCTGAGTTATTTCTCAGACAAGCTTAATACTAACGATGTGCTCCAAAAAAGGAGACCTAATGTTTGTCTTTCACTACAATGGTGTGTTATGTGCAAAGGCAATAGTGATAGTGTGAATCATTTATTTTTGCATTTCCCTATTGCTCGTTCATTATGGAACAAATTATTTGGCTTGGTTGGGCATTGTTGGGTGCACCAGGTTCCACATCTTCTATGTTTTGTTTGGATATTAAGGGTTTTGGTGGTGGTAGTGGCAGAGAAAGTACTCTATGGCAATGTGCTTTTTTCGCTATTGTGTGGGTTATTTGATTGAAAAGAATCTTGAGAATTTTTTAGCATAGAAGTGTAATGGTGGAAGGATTGTGAAATTGTATCTACTTAATCTTTTTTTGGGCTTCGGCAACTAGAGACTTTACGAATAGTCCTTTGTTTTGCATCNGAGATTTGAGTGGTATAACCCGGGTCACTAATGAGCCATATAATTAAAAATGATTATATAATGCGTGATAATAACATAAACTTCGAATACATAAAATCACTTATTGATTGATTGTATAGTTTATAACTAACAAATCCTCGTAGTTATGTGTGTGCTGTGATTGAGCAGCAGACAAAGGTTTGGTACACCCATTGAAATTAAAGTGAACTTCTAGGTTGCTGGCATAGGGGTATGTCCATTCTTTCCAGCTGTAGCTATGTTAGCTAGCTGAGGGGAAGCCCACGCAAGAACAAAATATAGTTATATTATTTATAGACTATTGGACAATTGTGAACTCAGTTCACGTACTGCTTTAACTGTCCAATAACCCAACCCTTAGAACACATACTACAAGATTGTGGCTTCCAACCAGAGCAATTGTGAGTCATCCTTCCATTGAAGGTGAGAATTTCCATTTTATAGTGGTTAGGGTGAGTCTTCATACATGTCTGCAAGCCCTCAATAAAGATATTTTTGCCAAATTTTTTGATAAAGTGAAGAAANTGCATCATGGCGAGTTGGACAGCTTCCTGTGGATTGTATTGACACTAGTGGGATGCTATAGTGCTTAGCACTTTTCTTTTTACTCGGCTTTGGGGTGGACTTCTTGTCTACTTCTGGCCATTCATTTTTATACATTAATAAAATTTTTGTTTCTTATCCAAAAAAAAAAAAAGATAACACAAATATTCTTTGTTCCAGTCTGTTGCATTCCAAAAAGCTGAAATTCCTTTTTAAACTGTCATCTACATCTGTTGCCTGTGAAATCTTACATACAATAGAAGTGTGAAGTTGTTGGGTATGGAATTCTCTGTCTTGTTGTCATGAATTCTNAGATAACACAAATATTCTTTGTTCCAGTCTGTTGCATTCCAAAAAGCTGAAATTCCTTTTTAAACTGTCATCGACATCTGTTGCCTGTGAAATCTTACATACAATAGAAGTGTGAAGTTGTTGGGTATGGAATTCTCTGTCTTGTTGTCATGAATTCTGTGATAGAGTAGAACATGATTCTTGATTTCTTATAATTCTGTGAGTTCACATTGCANGGAATTCTCTGTCTTGTTGTCATGAATTCTGTGATAGAGTAGAACATGATTCTTGATTTCTTATAATTCTGTGAGTTCACATTGCAATTTATGGATAAATCTGCATCTAATATCTTTATTTTTTTGCAGAAATTATGCATCTACTGTCTTCAGTTTCTTCATATTGAAACTGCGCCATATGATTAAAAAGTTCTTGTTTCTTTTTGCTGTTACTGAATTTTTGGTTGCTGCCCTGTCATACTTCATGATGTCCTGTCCCTATTTTCTAACAAGCAGCATGGTTTATTTTTGAGTCGCAGAAGGAGATATTGAGGATGTTGCTCCTGCCAAAGTTCAGGAGAAATCATCTGCATCAGTTCTGCCATATGTTGGTGTTGCTTGTTTGGGAGCCATTTTATTTGGATATCATCTGGGGTATGCCTTTGTTCAAGTATAGAAATAATTTCTCTTTACTGATGTTTTCCTCTCTGTCAATCCGAATAATTTGAATGTTCTTTACCACCTGAATTACTTGTCATGCCACCTCTAGCTGTAATCTGACAAGTGAATGTGGTTTTTTAAGTCCAGTTCTGAATTCACATTCGTAGTTGGTAAAATTATTGCCATGCTGTTAAGGTAGGTAATTGTGAGACTTACTATTACCTTGTATATTCTTCCTCATCTGCTTCAGGGTGGTTAATGGTGCCCTAGAGTATCTTTCCAAGGATCTTGGGATTGCTGAAAACACTGTTTTGCAAGGCAAGTCTTCATTGCTTTATGTGATGAAACATTTGATTCATATTGCATAGGGTGATGTTTACTAATTTATGTCTTTGGCATATTTTTTGATAGACTAGAATAAAAGCACATCACCAGGTTCAGTGAATTTGATTGCCCTGTCCAAAAAGCCCCCTACTATGCATTTGAATTTGCACTATTCTATTGATTGAGGTAGATATGGCTGAATTACAAATTACAATTCACATACTTCACCTACATACATCTCCTGCTAGTCTCAATTGCAGATTGTATGGTAATTTTTATGGGTGGTTTTTTTATTTATCTAGGATTACAAGTTTGTCATTGTTATTTTTTAAACAGGATGGATTGTTAGCACACTTCTTGCTGGCGCCACTGTTGGTTCATTTACGGGGGGAGCATTGGCTGACAAATTTGGCCGGACAAAGACTTTTATACTGGATGCAATCCCACTTGCAGTTGGAGCATATCTCTGGTTTGCTCCTTTTGCATTGATGATGAGGCTGTAAATGTTTTTTTTTTTTTCAGAAACTCTGTCTCTAACGGTCTCACCATTTTTCAGTGCCACAACCCAGAGTGTACAGACAATGATAATTGGTCGTTTACTAGCTGGCATTGGAATTGGCATCTCATCTGCTATTGTGCCACTTTACATTTCCGAGGTGGTACCTTCTCACAATCATAGTATTCCATGCTTTCCTTAATGCCTTTTCACTTTTTACCTAACCCTTACTGTGGACAGATATCACCAACCGAGATTCGGGGTACACTTGGATCTGTCAACCAACTATTCATCTGTGTTGGGATTCTTGCAGCATTGGTGGCTGGATTGCCTTTAGCTGGAAATCCTTTGTGGTACTATCTCGTTCCATGTTTCATATTCAAGCCACAGTGACTGATTAGTGAATTAAATCAACCTGATACATTAATGAGCTCTGATGTGTGATATGTAGTGTAGCCCTTTAGAAGGACTTTTACAGAGCTGGCTACCTTCTTACTGACTGCACACCTACATGCTGGCGTTCAATTAGTAGCACATGGAGTCTTGCATGAAAAATTATGAGGCCCTATAATAGTGTGACATCAGCATTCTCTTAGAGTACAAACTGACATAACTTGTTAATGTCGCTAACAGGCAGAACCTAATGGTGGATTTTGTTTTGTCTAAGTTATAAAACCTTATTTGTCTTGGCCACCTAGATCGTGTTGATCTTTAAAGTTTTCAAATTGTGCTTTACCTTTTGTTCTGATTTTTTTTTTGTTTATCCACGTGTGTTTTGATTTTCCTTTTTCCTGCTTTACATTAGCTTGAGTCATTTAACTCATTCTATCTTGTTGGACATTATTGTACCAACGCGTTACTCCAACATCCAAAAACATCAAACTCTTCTCATTAAGCTTTTTGCATATGTGCTCTGCCTCATATTGTAACTTTTAGAAATAATAATGACAATTTGACAGGTTTCTTCTCTTAATTGGCATAATTTTTAGATAATTGAAGGGCTATAAGTAGTTCAATAGCTTTTATCATGAGGGAAAAATGAAGACAACTCGCACGGCTTAGGTACTAAAATAAATGGTAATTGGCTTTAAATAATACCATATAACACCAGGGAATCACTTTGTAATTCTCCCCTTGCCAGTTCTTATCCTCTTTTGCCATGAGATGAAATCCTTGTGCCATTGAATATTTGCATTGATCATGTGCAGCTAAGCACATAGAGACAGCAACATGGGTACATGTGCCATACTATGAAAATATTTACTTACGTCAAATATAAAGAGACTACAAACTCATCGTCCTTGTATAATCAAGTTGGAGTTCTGAAGTTCCATAGAACATTGAATTGGGGCAACCTAGTGCTAATGGAGCATTCTCTTTACTTCCATGTGTGATGTCTATGTTGTGGCATTAGGTCATAAAAATGCTTGGTGTGACCATTTCATAATGGAATAAAATTAGAAAGTCATTAGATGAGCACCCCAGAAAACCTAATTTATGACTTTTGCCTTCTCACTCTTGTTATTGTTTAAAAGTAATATTTTTTGTTCATATTTCATTATGCAAGCTTAGGCACTTGGTTAATAACAACACATTGCTCTCTGGATGGTTGTGCAAAGGATTTGTCTTGCACCACAATTTTGTATCTATCTTCACATTGCAAGGGATATTTTATATTGGTTCATTGAATCAAATTCTCCAAATGGAAATTTATGTTCCAAGGCGCATTTTTATGATTTTATGTCAAGATTTTTCTGCGATGTTTATATAAAATCTGATTTCCCTCTGTTGTTTAGAAAATGTTACTTCCAGAATAGTGCCTCCAACGTTTAACCCTAAGCCCTGAACCATCAGTATACCTGAGTTTTGACTTCATCTTTTTCCAGCCAATCAAAAGGACCAGAGCCATTTTGCCATTGCATTGACTTCTTTCCTATGGTCATCTTTTTTTTCTTTGAGTTTCTTCCAGTTTGTTATCAAGTTTTAAATCAATCTTGCATCAACCAGCAGAGACTTCAAATTTTATTCAGTTGAAGATTTTATGCTTCGATAATAAGTACATGTTACGATGAGTAAGTGATTATTTATCACACTGATTGAGGTTTATTTGTACAACTCCCTTCTGGGAATTTAAAAGTTTTGTTTTAAAGTGATATTTGTTATTCCTCTGAGTTCGGCATGTACACAATTTATTTCAGTATTATCACCACTTTTGTCTCTTATTCTGTCCTCTGTACATCTTTGTCAGGTGGAGAACAATGTTTGCTGTTGCTGTTGTTCCTTCTATACTTTTGGCACTTGGAATGGCATTTTCTCCAGAAAGCCCTCGGTGGCTCTATCAGGTTTCTTTTGCAAGCGATTAAGTCCTGTGGTCAAAAACTGTCTTTGCCTGTTTTGTGTGCAATTTTGTTGTGCATGCAATATGTTTGCATTCTAGGTTATTGCTCATCTATTTTATTGCTAAGCTACGCAAAATGTCTTCGCAGCAAGGGAAAATCTCTCAAGCTGAAACAGCTATTAAAAGGCTATTTGGAAAAGAAAGAGTTGCTGAAGTTATGAATGATCTAAATGCTGCAGCTCAAGGTTCTTCAGAACAAGAAGCTGGGTGGTTTGATCTTTTCAGTAGCCGGTATAATAAAGGTATACCTCGAATAATCAAAAGCTTCTTGTATCAGATCTCAGGGACAATATGCGGAATGGCAACAGTATAATTGGCCATGCTGCATATTTATGTTGATGCTAGAGTAAGCCACATGGCATAGTAGATTGTGTTGGTTGAATGCCAGAAATACATGGGGCATCGGTGTTATAGTGTCTGGTTTATTTGCTTCAAAGCTTTTGCCCTAAAAATTCAAAAACGGCTACTACATTATCTTTTATACTTTTTTTTTTTGGAACATAGGATAACTACAACCACTCACACTTAAAAAGTGTGAGGGCCATAGCATCCATTTAAACACAACACACACCTGAAGGCTATCCGATGTGGGATAGCCCCAGCCCTTACCCACCCAGGCCCTAAGGCCTCACCCAACCTATTGTCTGGCTCTGGCCCTGACCCAACTAGGGAAGAAACAGAGCCCACAAGCAGAGTCACCCCGGAACACACATGGACTAGTATGCTTTTTTTTTAACATAGGATAACTACAACCACTCACACTTAATAAGTGTGAGGGCCATAGCATCCATTTAAACACAATATCTTTTATACTTCCATTTGCTCTTTTAAATGTTACCTGCATCTTGTTAGATGCCAATCTTCATGCTTCCTATCGCTACAAATCTGAAGAGCTTGTGAAGGTCTAAGTTCCATTGAAACAAAGATTACTGATGTGCACTGTTATGATTTTTGATATCTTCTGCTTTGGTTTTTCCAGGGGTTGCTTCATGAATACTAACATTTTGTTTTTTTGGGGGTGGGGTAGAGGAAGGTTTAGTGTTTATGNTGCTTCATGAATAATAACATTTTGTTTTTTTGGGGGTGGGGTAGAGGAAGGTTTAGTGTTTAGGGATGCAACATAATGTGTGAGTTGTCCTAGATTATTCTTCTTTTTGAAGATGACATTGACATTTTATCCATGGCAAACAATTAATTGTATCTCTTCATCTCTTGGTAGGCCTTGTTATGTATGTAATGTGATACAGTATTTTCCAATTAATCAGAATATGTTCTTGACAGGGAAAGAGGCACATAGTTGAGTCTGAATATGGTCAGCCGTGCAAATGACAATCCCTCGGTTCACTCTCCCAACAAAAATATTGATAGACAATTAAGTTCAAAATCTGTTCTATATTATTATCACCAACAAGCGTGACATGTTTCTTACTCATTCTGTTATATGTGGTCCCTGATACCTCCTTGAGAAAGTAGCAAAGACCAAATTTCTGACATCTATCTATTGCTGCAGTTGTCAGTGTTGGTGCATCACTTTTCTTGTTCCAACAGTTGGCTGGAATAAATGCTGTGGTATACTATTCTACTTCTGTGTTTCGTAGTGCTGGAATTACATCTGATGTTGCCGCCAGTGCTCTGGTTGGGGCGTCAAATGTTTTTGGTTAGTATGCTTAAGAAGTTTAATAGAAATGTTATTTTGCATCTTATATTTCATGTGATTGACTGTTTTTTTTTTTTGGTAGGTACAACTGTGGCATCCTCTTTAATGGATAAGCAGGGAAGGAAAAGTCTTCTGATTACAAGCTTTGCTGGAATGGTATTTCCCATCCTTAATTTTTCTACAGATATGAAGCACATGGACATGAATACTCATATAAGATTCATATTTACATTCTCTGGGGCAAATGCCTAATAATTCAACAGTGTTAAGCCAACTACGTGGGTTTGGCATCAAATGGCATCAAATTGCATACTTTTCCGTCAATTAACTTTTGGGCTAATAAAGCTTTAAGTTAAATACTTCGATCAGGTTTTTGCATTTATTAAGCTTTTCATTATTTTTCCTCCCTACCATTGCTTTATGTTAGTGATTGTTCATCAATTTCAGGGTCCGAAGCTTGGGTAACAACTAACAATAGATATTACATTATTCAGAAGTATAAGTCAGGAAACACTGATTCTTAATGCTTTCATAGTGTTGAGAAAAACACAGTATGGATAATTCTCTCATTTTACATCCTGTAATTTGATATGATCTGTTTTCTTAACAATCATGATTATGATCATGATTGGTGCTTACATGGAAACGGGACAAATACACCATATGGCACAGCACATACATGTTGACAAGGCAAATCTATAAAATGGGACATGGACACAAGGCAAGGTACAAATAATTGTGCAATGTATAGTCAAAATATATTTTTTACTAAATTATGGTTATTTAGCTGCACAATACAAGAAAAGAAAAACTTAATGATAGGTAAATCATATATCTACTACCCTAACATGTATTTAGTGCAATGGACCCTAGTAATAATCACCCATTTAAAGAAAAAAGGTTGCAAGCATACATAATTATAATGATAGATTTTTTCTTCTCAAGATCTCAACTCTATGTTTTTCAGCTTTTTCTAATAAGTTTCAAGTAAAAGTGTAATATGATTAGCCTTAACGATCATACTTCTCTGTCATATAAGATAGTCATATGTTGAATTTCCGATAGTTAGCAAGTGCTCGAGAAGTAGCAATCTTGAAGATAGAGCCACTTCGAGTTTGATTCTTTCTATTGTTAATGACTTCAATTTTAATCATGGGATTTTTTATAAAAGAAATTGGCTTGTTGATCATTCAAATGTCTTTTCTTTGAAGTTTTTCTTTGAATATATTTTGATGATCCCTCAAGTACTTTTTTTCTCTCGTCTTTGAGCTAAAATGCCTATTAAGTACTAGTTCATGCATGTTGGAGAGGACTGCTATTAAATGATGATATGTGCGAGGTGGTGGAAGGATTTGGGATCGAATGTATTTTCTTGCTATTAAATGATCTTTTTGGGCTTCGGTCACTAAAGAATTTTAAAGAATTCTTCTATTTTGCATTGTAGCAGGGTGGAGAGCAATTTGTGATGAATAATTAGGATCTTATGTATCTAAGACCCAAGATTCATTGTTTGTTTGTTTTTTGTCTCTGTATTTCTGGTTTGACGACTTGTCCACTTTACCTCTTTATTATTTATCGTCACGACGTGTGTGTGTGTCCAAAAAGTGTCGGTGTGTGATACGTGTCAGACATAGAGACATCACCTTGTTAGCCCCGTCTCTGCTTCTTAGGGTCCTTGTTGTAGATATGTGTTCGAAATGCCAGGAAGGCAGCACTGAATTTGGGTTCTGATCAATGTTTGAAATCACACTGCATTTTATTGTTGATGATGTTTTTATTGGCTACCAGATGAATTTGTTCGTTGATTTAAATTATCTTCTAGTTGTGGATGGCATTGAGCCAGAAAGAATAGTACAAAATTAGAAGTATCTGCATGTGTAGCAAAGTTTGAAGGACAAGATATCTTAGTCTTTTTATTGTATTTGGGGGTTTCGTTCAATCTTTTATCTAATAGTTAGCTTATGACTGGCTTATGTTTACACTTTTTTTCCCGTTTTGAAGGCTGCTTCAATGTTGTTACTTTCGCTGTCTTTCACCTGGAAGGCCCTGGCACCATATTCTGGCACACTAGCTGTTCTGGGGACTGTCCTGTGAGTCAAATTATTTCCTTAGTGGTTGACTCTGATAGTCTTCTTGCTCCAATGGATAGTTTTTGTTTAATAATGACCTATGAAATTTATACTCAACTTTCATTCTATTTACACAGTTATGTACTGTCCTTTTCGCTTGGTGCTGGTCCTGTGCCTGCTCTTCTACTTCCAGAGATATTTGCCTCTAGAATTAGAGCAAAAGCAGTTGCCTTATCACTAGGGATGCATTGGGTAAGTCATGACACCAATATTTTAGCTGTGGCTTCTTTGCTGTTGCTTGTGATTGGTTTCACTCTCAACCAAATAAATTAATCCTGCAGAGTAAAATTGCTCTGTTTTTGTTCAAACAAAATTGTCTTGTCATGCAGAGGTAAATAAAATAAAATAGAGATAGGTAAAATAATCATTTGACTGGAAACTAAAAGGGCAAATTTCAATTTACTTTGGTGCGAGTTGACTCAGTAACACATCAGNCGTCATGCAGAGGTAAATAAAATAAAATAGAGATAGGTAAAATAATCATTTGACTGGTAACTAAAAGGGCAAATTTCAATTTACTTTGGTGCGAGTTGACTCAGTAACACATCAGCTTCTTATACTTTAGAAATTTCCAACTATCGTCCTGTTTATGGACAGGACTGAAACCTTGAGTAATTCCATAAAAGTTAACTCAAATGTCAAAATTATTTTTATACCATATATNAGCTTCTTATACTTTAGAAATTTCCAACTATCGTCCTGTTTATGGACAGGACTGAAACCTTGAGTAATTCCATAAAAGTTAACTCAAATGTCAAAATTATTTTTATACCATATATTATATTTGTTTTTGGTTCTCTCTTTTCAATAAATTGATCCCTTTCTCTCTTGGCCATTTGTATTGTATATCTTGAGTAGATTCTTCGAGTTGTATAAATTTTTAGGAAGAAGAACACTACGAATACAAAAAATGGATGGTTTTAGTGTCATTTAATACAAAATTGTTAACCTGGTAAGCTGGTACACTTTAGGACTAAATTTTAAAGGGTGAAGTGTAGGTTTTAAATATAAGGAGATAAATTGTCACTACCTGAAACCCAAATGACGTAATTTAACCCAACTAAGCACTCACATACGCACATCACGAAACTAGAAGTATGGCCATTTTCTTTCTATTGTGTTTTTGCTTGAAATATANCATACGCACATCACGAAACTAGAAGTATGGCCATTTTCTTTCTATTGTGTTTTTGCTTGAAATATAGTTTTTGCAAAAACTACACTAGTCTACAACCCATGCATGGGAGAATACATGAACATTGAAAAGATATCTTTTATGATGATGATGTATTAGTCTTTATACTTTGGATTGCCTTTCGCTGTTGGTTTAAACTACATTGTTTTCTGCTTGAACAGATATCTAATTTCGTCATCGGCCTGTATTTTTTGAGCGTTGTAAATAAGTTTGGTATCAGTACAGTGTACCTTGGATTTGCGGCTGTCTGTCTTCTTGCCGTCTTGTATATAGCTGGTAATGTTGTGGAAACAAAGGGAAGATCACTCGAGGAAATAGAACGTGCCCTTAACCCAGCAATTTAAGCAGGATACTTATGAGTGTGTCATGAAAATAAGATCTGTTTCTACAGCTCACTGATCTTGACCTGAGGAACTGCTCACCTGCTGTACCCCTATATTATGCTGAGAAAAGGACTTGGGCAAACTTTGTTACCCACCATTTTGCTGTCCTTCATTTGAGCGTTTGATCTTAAATGTGACTAGTGTTAGGGAAGTGTTTAGACATTGTGACATGTTGGATTGGGCAATGTGGCTCTGTGATATGAGTTAAGATTTGTGATTCGGTTCTTTAATTGTATTATAATCTTGTGTGAACTCAGATTGCCGAACTTTACTTCTTATGATGCTATATGTCGGATCCTAGTTGTGGTAGGCTTGAGGCGTGATTAACTTCTGAAAAAGCATTAACCAGACGGATGTGTGCGCGTGCGTGTCAATATATAAACTGTGCAAGATGTTGCACTAAGAAGTTTGCCACCCACAAATTTCAACTGAGAAGCGTGGGCGAATGAAGAAAATGTACGTTGGAATTTCTGAATGGATTTCAGCAAAGCTAATGGAAGTGTTGAGACAATGATGTTATTATGAATCAAGAAAGGGGAGGGGTTCGGTTGAATGGATGGGAGCAGAGAAACTCATAGATGCATAGCTATATGTGGCCTATAACAATTTTTTGATCAAAGCTCAATCATAGAAAAATCTGCCATTACCCTTTCCCAATGCTCTCAACTTTAGTGAGCATCAAACCTTGATAAAAGTAGTACCAGAGCTAACGAAGAGACTCCATCTCTCTTACAGCAACTTTAATTTTCATTTTCACATACAGTTATTTCAAAGATAAAAAGCAGTACCGGAGCTTCCCATAAAGCATTTACAGTAACATAACCAGATTCACCGACCAACAAAAATATGACCAGATTCTGGCACGGTGGAGAATTCTGATTTGTACCAGCCAAACCAATCGTTGAAGTTGAACAGCCCTATCTTCTAACCTCAAGAGAATGTCTTCAGCGTGATATGTCCGCAATCACAGCAAAAAGCTGCATTTACTCTCGTATCCCTACATGTTCGATTTCCTTTCCCACCTTTCTTTTGTGTCAAGCCTACCAATCCAAAAGAAAACAAAAATGGAATAAGTACTAAAAGATAATATAATATACAGTACAAAATAAATTCAATATTGCAGCATTGACATGTTGCATCATGCATGTTAAAGAAGCTGATGATCTATGCTCATTTTCACTGGTTAAATGTTACTAATTTGAACGAAATTTATACCCCCAATGTAACTTCTGGCGCTTCCTTGACGCAATAGAAGCTGCTACAACATCCTGCTGGCGAGCACAAATATCCTTAATGTCACAGCTTTTTGAGATGAGAATAGTAGAATCTTCAATTGTTTTACTCGTATTTTCATCTGTACAATCCTTAGCATTGATTGCCATCCCATGAGATTTGCTAGTCCTATCAACTATCCCTGCAAACAAATTTCAACGTCTTACAAAACCTATCCTGAAAATAATCTTCAAGCACTAAAAAGATAACTAGAAAACAAACCTTTGGATTTCTTTTTATTTGTTGTTTTTTCTTTAATTTGTAAACGCCTCCTATGCAATTCCTATCAGGAAAAAAAAAGTTCCCAGTACTCAGGAAGAGGGATAAATGAGGGGGTAAAAAATGATGATGGAGAGGCAAAGACAGTAAGTTGTTGGCGGATAATTACGAAGCAAAGACAGTAAGTTGTTAGTGGATAATAATGAAGCAAAGACAGTAAGTTGTTAGTGGATAATTACGAAGCAAAGACAGTGTTCAACCCCCCATAGAGGACTCAAACCCATAAGGACTATCAACAGCACAAGACTCAAGCAAGGGAGATGGCATCTTGAAAGATTACATGTTAGATAACCAAAACAACGAACCACAAGTAGAGTTACCTGACACCTCATCTGAAAGGATGTCAAGCAACAAATCTCTTCATCTTACATATATTTTATATTTTACTTCTTGTATTCTAGCACACATTCTACACTTTTCAGGCCTTTGCCATACATATAACAGTTTATCAAAGACGACAATTTCATTTCCCGAACTTGTTTATCCATGTCTAACGATTATTGTTGTCTCCTACCTCTAGAAACTTTGTCTAGATTCAGTGTAAAGTTTGCACAAGTACCTGTATCTAATCACCGCAAGAAAATGCGTCAGACAGCAAGAGGACAACACCATCTGAACCTGCCCTTCAGTACTTGAGTTCGAGAAAGAACTTCCAGGCAACCCCATGGATTAGGCCTCCATTTGAAATTCTCACTTAAGAATGCCTTCTAGCTAATAAATTTTCCACCATACCTTACATTTGAATCTTTTCAAGAAGCCATTTAGTGTAATTTTTATTCATTACTAAATGCTAGGTCTATCTGGAGGTGGTGTGATTCGGGACCACATTGGGCAGTAGGTTGCTAGACTCTCACAGTAAGTTGGCATTGCTTCCTGGAGTTTATTTTTAATCAAAATATGGCTCTTTTCTAACTTTATTCTCTTATTTACCAAACTATAGTAATTTGAATGAAAAAGCGTGCTTGCAAAACACAGTTTCAACAACAAAAAAAAAAACCTTGAAAGTATGCAAACACACTTTTTTATTGAAAAACATGGGTTCATCCCACGCTCTTCTAAAAACTACCATAATTGGGTAAATAAATTAAAAAGAATGGATATTCTGTGAATTTTTCTTAAAAACACAGTAGTATGACCATTGATTCTTGCTACCAGAGTAGAAGTAAAACTATGGGCACTAAGACATGGCTTTCAACTGACATAAAGGCAAAACAAAGGAAGAGTTGTGACGCAATGACCGTCTAAGAATTAACCAGTACTAAACCGGCAACTAAACATCCCGATGCTCACATTTCATTGATTGCAGTTACCTCATGAGGCCAGTGGAGGTGCAGTAGGTGGTCCACGCTCATCCTGAGGCTAATGGATGAGCAGACATCTGAGCAGTGAAAGAATGCAAGCTGACCATGGATTTTTTTTTCTCTAGCTCTAGCCTAAATATGCATTAAGAAACTACTAAATTAGAGGAGTTAATTTCCCCAGAATTATAAACTAATTTTATGAGTTCTACAAAAATCCTACATTGCCAAAAGAAAACAAAAAAAGGCAATGAACAATTATAATCATGCATATTGCACAAAATATTCTACCAGACAGACAGGTTTCCATTCACCCCAATACTATCGGTTTCACAAAAATGCCCAATTCTAATTAAAACCACTTCATCTGGATGAATTGTCCACCTTTGAGGAGTTATCGTACCACTTCTTTCACTATTATTATCAATAAAATAGTTGTTTCTTATTGAAAAACATAAAAATAAAAAAAACCACTTCATTGTCACAAGCAAGCACTACAACAAATTTTATTTTTTTTCACCTCTTTGGTAACAAAGACTATCAGTTCAACATTGAAATTCATCTCTGTAAACCATTGCAACATCCGAGGTAAGGTTAAAAGTTCAAAATTCAATCGTATTTGAAATAGAAAGGTCTCACATAATGGTGCAAAAAAAAAAACATAAATTTCGTCTCTGAATCATTATAGATAAATTAGCCATCAACAGAAATTAAAGGGAAACCTAGGAATGCGAGAAGTACTTGGAACTTGGAGATCTGATGTTTGGTAACGCCACCTCCACCATCAGGCTTGAAATTGGGCTGTAAAGAAGGGGCCGATGCTATTGCCGCTTCTCTCCTTTCGTCTTCCTCCTCCATTGTTTGCTCTGTGCATGTGCGTGCCTAAGTGAAAAAAAAGAAAAAAACCCTAATTCGTCCCCACCCTATAAATCAGGAACCGTAGGCTATCACAAGAGAGAACTGTTTTTCGGGTTCAGCTGGTTAACCTGGTCAATATTACTGAGGCCATGTTTATTAACCCGGATCCGGGTCAATTCTAAATTTATTTTGAGTAAAATACACTTCTACTCCTCAAAATATGTATAGTGTCCATGTGGTTCCTAAGGTTCATAATTTTCATTTACGTGGTCTAATTTCAAACGTCTATCAGAAAATTATTAATGACTTTGGTCACGAGCCAATCATGTAGAACCAAATAGAGACAAATTAGAAACTGTAAATATCAAATAGACACAAATTAAAAATTTTAAGGACCAAATGAACACAAAATTAGTAACTATGTGATTGGCAAGTGATCAAAGACGTCATGATTTTCTGATAGACATTTGGGATTGGACCACGTAGATAAAAATTAGAAACATTAGGGATCAAATAGATATAATTGAAAGATTGAGGACCAAATAGAAATTAAATACATACTTTAAGGATTAAAAATGTATTTTACGCTTTATTTTTCATCCAATAAATAAATTTATTTATTTTATTAAAATTTTTTTATTAGGGTTAATTACAAATTATACCCTGAAAGATCATTCGAATCTCAATTTGTACTTTCAAAGATAAAAAATCTTAATTTATATCTTCAAAGATAGAAATTTGTATTAATGTGCACCCCCAAAGATCAAAAATCTCAATTTGCACCCTCAAATATAGAAATTTGTATCAACGTGCACCTAAAACTAAATTGATAAGTTATACCTAAATCCCTTATGCTTGACACTTAATTATTTGGACTTCTTCACATTTAGAATATTACTCATACATCTCATAAACGTTTGTGCACGTGTAACACGTAACCCCTTTTCGTTGATATTTGTTAATATAACCGTTAAAAAATATGATTTTATCTTAATAAAAAATTAAAATTTCATATTATCCTTTATTTTATGGGTCCAATCTAAAATTCAAAATCAAACTTACCATTTGAATGTCTAATAGAATAAAGGGTTGCACATTAAATGATATATTACATTGGATATAAAAAATATTATATAAATATCTACATTTCTATTGGACATTCAAATGGTAAGTTTAATTTTGAACTTTAGAGTATATCGGACTCATAAAAAAAGGGTAGTATGAAATTATAATTTTTTATTAGAATAAAATCATATTTTTTAACGGTTATATTATCACACATCAACAAAAAAGGGTTACGTGTTACACGTGCATAAACGCCATGAGATGTGAGAGTAATATTCTAAACGTGAAGGGGTCCAAATGATTAAATGATAAGCACAAGGGATCTAGGTATAATTTATTAATTTAATTTTAGATGCACATTGATACAAATTTCTATTTTTGAGGGTGTAAATTAAGATTTTTTATCTTTGGGGATGCACATTGATACAAATTTTTATCTTTGATGGTACAAATTAAAATTTTTTATCTTTGAAGGTATAAATTGAGACTCGAACTATCTTTCGGGATGTAACTTATAATTAACCCTTTTTATTATTTTTAAATTAATAAATTTAAATTATCCAAACCAAAATTAAGATCAATTTCAACACGTTACTTCTGTGGTACCACAGACACAGCCTTTTTAACCCTTATTTTCACACAATTTATACTTTTTGAGTGGGGTTATCCCACCCCCACAATTGGTCCCAAAAAAAATTAGGGTAAAATTCAGTTTATCGTTTGGATATTTTGCACATGATCTCCTTGTGGTTCGAAAATCAGCACATTATCCCCTTGTACTATTTTACTAAAGTAATACCGTTAGCTTTTCCGTCACATTAGACGGTCTGTGACATACATGTGCCTAACCAGAGGTCTGATATAACAAAAAGTATTTCCCACCAAAAACAAATACAATAAAATTACAATAATACCCTTCTTCGTATTTCCAAGCTACTGTGTTTTCTGTTTCTTCTCCAAGTGTTGTCACCCATTATCACCACCAATCCCAACGCGTACACCACAAGCTCCACTATTTTACTGTGCAACAACACCAATCCACCTCCAACAGTCTGACTGTGCAACACCACAACCTCCGTTATTTCTATTTTGCAACAACACCAATTAATCACCCACCATAACCTTTGTACAGATCCACCACCAATAAATCTCCACCCTACAGTCGGCCAATGGCTCCACTAAATTGCTCCCTACTGCGCATAACTGCCACTACCACAACTTCAAAACCAAATTCAATCAATCAAGCACAATAAAACAGGGCTAATGACATTGCAATAAAATCGAATTGAAATCCAAAATGAAAAATTGAGATCTAATTGATAACAGAGACAGAGGACAATGTTAATTTCGTGTGACGAGAAAGAACGAGGAGATAAAGAGTTGCTGACGAGAAGAGATGGAGAGAAAAAGAGGGGGCAGTGAGGTTGTTACACAGAGAGAGAGAGAGGGAGGGGGGGGGATTGCTGACCTGGGTGTGATTTAGTGTAACAAGTTCTTGTGGAACTTGATTGACCAGAGTCTTTAGTCAATGTCTTAGGTCATTGGGAAGGTGACAAGTATTTGGTAATTGGAGGGTGTGAAGACAAAAGAGGGGAGATCGTGACCTATTTAAGGATTTAACGGTTGAGATTTTGAGGGTATTAAGGTCATTTTATTATTTTTGTTAACGGTGTTAATTGTTCAAATTGGTCCAAAAGTACAAGGAATAATGTAAACCATAGGGTAGTCCTGTGCAAAACACCCAAACCACAATAGGGTAAATTAAATTTTACCCGAAAGAAAAATCCCACCCCACAAAAATTCATCCCTATCTCCTTTAATTGTATTATATAAAACCATTAAATTCAATCCATTTATATCTAACTTATTAGTGACAAGACCCACCATACCTATATTTATCGCATTATTTACTAAACTACCGCATTCTGCATCCATCTCTTAGTGGTGGATAATTTAGTTGGGAATCATAAATGTTCACCTAATTACACAAAGTCTTTTTAAACTTGGAATACACTTGGATACCGAAAACTTCCTTTTCCGTATGGTATCGAAAAGTAAATGACCTTCTTTACCTTACATGTATCTCTAAAAAAATGATCGAGAAAACTGGTATATATTTAAACCGAAAAAGTTATAACCCAAAAAAGTGGTAATGACCCAAAAATTGTATTCCAACCCGAAAACTTGTAACACCAAAAAGATTGTAATTCAACTCCAAAAATTATTACATACTCCTAAAAAGTTTGAAACTTGATCCCAAAAAGTGTAACATAACCCAAAAGGTTAAAATTCAATCTATAAAAGTTGTAACTCACCCTAGAAAATATGTAACCCCACCAGTGAAGTTGTATCTAACCCCAAAAAATTAGAATTTTATCATAAAAGTTGGAATAGGGGTGTCAAATGTGTCGAGTTAAACAGTTACGTATCGGGTTAAACGAGTGACAGGTAAAAAACAAATAACCCGTACACGAAATATTTAATAAATGGGCAAAAAATTTCAACACAACACGACCCGTTTAATAAATGGGTAACATAACACGATTCGTTTAACCCTTTTAATCTTAAAAAAATTTATATCAACAAATTTTAATACTACACTTTTTTTACTGTCAACTGTATTTATCTCAAAAAAGAGAATTTTCTAGTCAAATCTCACCATCTTCCCTCCTTTGTCTTTGAACTGCTCTTCATTTCGCCTTCTTTGTCTTTGAACTACAGCTTTACTTTTTTTTTCTGTATTGATTTCTTACTTCTTCTATTTTTTTTCTGGCTAATTTTTTAAAATAATTATTAATTTATTATTATATTAATTTTATTTAAATGAGCAAACGTATGATAAACGGTTTGACAGATTTCACCCGAACATGACCCATTTATTAAACGTATTTGGCGAGTCAACCAGTTTATTACCCAAACCCGTTAAGATCTCTCACTCAAAATCGCTTAATTTGTATCGATTCGTGTCAATTAATCGTATCGTGTCGGATTTTGACAGGCTTAAATGGAAACCTCGTCCCAAAAGGTTGGAACTCCTAAAAATTTATTAACCCAACTCCCAAATTTGTAACATATCCTAATAAGTTAAAACCCAACCACAAAAAAATGTAACATAGGAAACCCACCCCCAAAATAATAACATACCCCAAAGGTTGAAACTCAATTCATAAAAGTTGTAACACTAACGTTGCCCACCGTGTAATCATATAACATACCTAAATTGGATGAATTAAATATTAATTTAGTGTTAATTTGATGAATGAAATTTTATTTGATGAATTTAATGTTAAATAGTTGATTTTGAATGTTAATTTGATGAATTTTATTAGATAAAATTGAATATTAATTTGGCGTTAATTTGATGAATTAAATATTTATTGGATGAAACTGCATATTACTTTGGTATTGATTTGATAAATTAAATTTTTATTGAATAATTTTGGATGTTAATTTGATGAATTGAGTGTACATTGGATGAATTAAATATTGATTTAGTATTAATTTGATGAATTGAATGTTAATTTGGTTAAGTTAAATGTTAATTTAGTATAAATTCGATGAACTTAACATTCAATTTAATATTTAATCTCATCCAATTAATATTCAATTCATCAAATTAACACCAAATTAATATTCAATTTATCCAACTTATATTATAATTCATTCAATTAACATTCAATTCATCAAATTAACATCCAAAGTAACATTCAATTTCATTCAATTAAGATTTAATTTATCAAATCAACAACAAAGTAACATGCAATTTCATTCAATTAATAATCAATTTATCAAATTTACACCAAAATTCAATTCTTTAAATCAACATTCAATTTTATCAAATAAACATTTAATTCATCAAATTAACATTCAAATTCAACTAATAAACATTTAATTCATCAACTTAACATTCAATCTCATCCAATTAATATTCAATT